AACAGTTCTGTTCAGTTCCTAACTGTACTTGGCAGAGCCTTCACAACACTGGATACGACGTATATAATCTTTTGGTCAATATGTAAATTTACCGGCTCGCCCTTAACCGGCCCTTGGCATAGATCTTGAAAACCGATTAGATTTCTCAAATAACAACTAAAACAACAGAAGAAAAATAAAAGCTGAGAACTTACTCTGAAGATCTACCCGACCAGTGTTAGATGAGGCTAGAATTAGTGTTCTCTCTCGTCTGGAGGTCAATTCTAAAAGCAACGCTCGCTATCGCTATGGAGTTTTTACATGTGGTCACCGAGCGTGATGTGTAAATAATCGGCTGATGAAATACCCGGGAAACATTAGCCAATCAGAGCGCTTTACGTAAGTGGTGGCCTAAAAGATATCTGATGAATAAATACCCGGGATATACATATATGATATATGCGATCTAAATTGGGAACAAGTTTAAGTCTAGTTCAGTTTCCCGGTGAGAGAAATGAGAGCAGAGAAAGCAGAAAGGTCATATTAATCGATCTACTCGTCTGACAAGATGCTCGCTTTCATTTTTCAATAGAAACTTGAAGCAGGATTTTGTTTGGAATGATAGTTCGTCTGGCAGATTTCACATACTCTTACAGCTGACCAATCAATATTCTTTAACACAGAGTATTTATCCGGAGTAAACCCGTCACGTTATTGCATCAGCCTGTGTCGGCTCTGTTATTGTGCTACGGCCTTTGTGGTATGATAATGCCCGGCCACTTCGAGCAGAAATGCATGCTAAAACGAAGTCTCAAATATATCCTTTATCTTCGTAAAACTCCTTATGCTCGGCTATAACTGTTTAAATCGAGTACTCGGCAGCGAAAATTCAGTTGAAGCAAAGATACTCTCACGTGAAATGCGGTAAATATTCGTACGTACACGTGACAGCAAAAACGTAGACACTCATGTGAAGTAAACTGCAGCTGTTTCCCGCGCAAGTTGCGAGTGACTGACGTCGACAAAAAGTGACCAATTAGAATTAGTGGGTCGACGACCTTTGGAACCTAGAGATGAACCGGATATTTTGGCATGTGGTGTACATCAGCTGAAGAAAAAAACATTCGTTTCTTACATTTAAACGTTCTTAAAGGAATAATTGCGAATTGTTTATTAATAAACACACTCCCTAGTGAAGTTATGCCGTTTTTTTTCGGTAACACTTGACCGAAACCGGAAAACGCGCATGAAAAGTCTCTAGCACCAAGGATGGATAGTAGCTGATAGTGTATAAAGTGTGTAAGGTAAAAATTGCAGGAATTGACAGATCGCTAGAAAGAGGCAAGTAAAGGTGTTATTTTCGATGAGACGATTTTCGGTTGACTGGATATGTTTGGTTTGTTTCGGTTATGTGGCGTTGTTATCTTGCTTGGAGGTTGGTTAGGGGTTGTTTTGATGCTAACAAGAACCATCAGTAGCTATGAAGACTCTATGAATAAAGCTGTAACGGAGGGCCTACTCTCCCAAAGTTGCCTTAAGTCGTTTTAAGGCGATTTAGGAAAAAATCGCATATCTTTACCTGGAAATTACTTTGAGTAGCCTTATAAAAGGCGTCTTAAGATCCCCCCAGAGTATACTTACAGGTGAAAGTCTAGCTTACAGGAACCGTTACTGAACTTCAATAATTCATGACTGTTACTATCTACATATGTTATGTGTTCCTGTAATTACCTACACGTAGCTGAGATATGCTGAATACCGGCAATCAACGCTTGGTCCCTTCCATGCCGGATATCTTTCTATGCGGCCGATGTCCATCTTACGTAGCGATGTCAGAGACCTATGGTATAGCTCGTTCCTGAATTTTTTTAACAAGTAAATCTCGAGAACACNGTAATTACCTACACGTAGCTGAGATATGCTGAATACCGGCAATCAACGCTTGGTCCCTTCCATGCCGGATATCTTTCTATGCGGCCGATGTCCATCTTACGTAGCGATGTCAGAGACCTATGGTATAGCTCGTTCCTGAATTTTTTTAACAAGTAAATCTCGAGAACACGGATAATAGTATTTTTGTAGGAGCTCCACGCGCGCGCGAGCGACCTATCCGAGAAATTTTGGTAATCACGTGACCGTCCGCACGTCCGTCCGCACCACAGGCATACCAATATAAAACAACTCAATCAATAGGTATGATAACCCAAATGCAACACGAGGTTATTTTGGCGGGAAATCGCATAGACACCCGTGTCTTGTGAAACAGTGACACCAAAAGAGTCAATAAAGAAGAAAACGGAAAGCGGAAATTGTTTCTGTATCCGTGTTGTCAAAAGTATTAAGCGAAGATTAATTGTCATGTCCACAAATGCGGAATATAGAGAAAGAGAAAGACAGAGAAAAAGAGAAAATAGGCGACATAGGGCCAGCGAAGCTCAACGACAAAAAGAGCGACAGAGGGCCAGAGCGACAGATAAGGAGCCATTTTTTGTTGGAAGAACAAAATGAATTTGTAGCGGCGGTGGGGAAAATGAGAAATGCTAGCTGCCACCCAGGAAGAAATGAGAGGCAGTGAAGAACATGTACGACCGTTCCTCCATAAAACTTGTAACCAGGAGGTTTCTGGACGTTTCACATTGTAGTCGTGCAAAACAACGGCAAAGAAATGAACAGAAAGAATGTGCTGCACGTGCAAAGTTGTTTCTTTGCTAATTAGACCTATTGTTGTTTTTTCACCTTTTCGTTGCCTACGCCGCTTAACATTACACGATTTTATATTTAGTTTGAGCAAACTATATAAATATTATCGAGAGCTTCTAGCTAAATCTGTATATCATATTATTAAAATTAGCGAGCGGGGCGTGCAAAAGAACTCAAACATGCACCACATCCGTCAAAATATTGTGAAATCCAGATAGAAAGACTCCCATAAACGAAATTCCGGTATAAAGAATGACATTGTACCCCGTTACTAAGTCCCCCTGTTTCAGTGTGGATCAGGATTTGGTTTCCGAAACTTTGCAACTGATTTGAGTCCGCGTATCAGTTTGTCCGAAGGTGGTTCCAACCATTACAATAACAATGTTCTCACTAATCGATGTAACTATCTGCCAATTTTTCTCCATCGTAAACCCGTTTATTTTGACTCCAGATAGTCCAGCAAAAAAAAGTCGCGCTGATGTTTTTCCTTTTAATTCTTCAGTTTTCTATCCCGGTTTCTATTTTAAGTTGGCTGTGCTAAAATAACCTAACACTGCGTTGATTATTCAGTGCAATCAACGCTTGGTCCCTTCCATGCCGGATATCTTTCTATGCGGCCGATGTCCATCTTACGTAGCGATGTCAGAGACCTATGGTATAGCTCGTTCCTGAATTTTTTTAACAAGTAAATCTCGAGAACACCGATAATAGTATTTTTGTAGGAGCTCCACGCGCGCGCGAGCGACCTATCCGAGAAATTTTGGTAATCACGTGACCGTCCGCCCGCCCGTCCGCACCACAGGCATACCAATATAAAACAACTCAATCAATAGGTATGATAACCCAAATGCAACACGAGGTTATTTTGGCGGGAAATCGTATAGTCACCCGTGTCTTGTGAAACAGTGACACCCAAAGAGTCAATAAAGAAGAAAACGGAAAGCGGAAATTGTTTCTGTATCCGTGTTGTCAAAAGTATTAAGCGAGGATTAATTGTCATGTCCACAAATGAGGCGGAATATAGAGAAAGAGAAAGACAGAGAAAAAGAGAAAATAGGCGACATAGGGCCAGCGAAGCTCAACGACAAAAAGAGCGACAGATAAGGAGCTATTTTTTGTTGGAAGAACAAAATGAATTTGTAGCGGCGGTGGGAAAATGAGAAATGCTAGCTGCCACCCAGGAAGAAATGAGAGGCAGTGAAGAACATGTACGACCGTTCCTCCATAAAACTTGTAACCAGGAGGTTTCTGGACGTTTCACATTGTAATCGTGCAAAACAACGGCAAAGAAATGAACAAAAAAAATGTGCTGCACGTGTAAAGTTGTTTCTTTGCTAATTAGACCTATTGTTGTTTTTTCACCTTTTCGTTGCCTATGCCGCTTAACATTACACGATTTTATATTTAGTTTGAGCAAACTATATAAATATTATCGAGAGTTTCTGGCTAAATCTGTATATTATATTATTAAAATTAGCGAGCGGGGCGTGCAAAAGAACTCAAGCATGCACCACACCCGTCAAAATATTGTGAAATCCAGATATAAAGACTCCCATAAACGAAATTCCGGTATAAAGAATGACATTCTACCCCGTTACTAAGTCCCCCTGTTTCAGTGTGGATCAGGATTTGGTTTCCGAAACTTTGCAACTGATTTGAGTCCGCGTATCGGTTTGTCCGAAGGTGGTTCCAACCATTACAATAACAATGTTCTCACTAATCGATGTAACGATCTGCCAATTTTTCTCCGTCGTAAACCCGTTTATTTTGACTCCAGATAGTCCAGCAAAAAAAGTCGCGCTGATGTTTTTCCTTTTAATTCTTCAGTTTTCTATCCCGGTTTCTATTTTAAGTTGGCTGTGCTAAAATAACCTAACACTGCGTTGATTATTCAGCGGTGAAGCACCTACTGTAATATCAATGTGTACCCGCGGAAAGAAAAACAAACAAACCGTAAGAAATGGTCAATTTCAAGGTTTGTATCCGACACTATTTAGTTACTAACTAGATCATTCCACTGTTATTCTATCGGCTGATAAAAAATGTTCTAGATTTAAACGTTCCATTCTAAATCCTTTGTTTTAACACAAAAGGGATGATTTAATTCACCGATTTATCTTTTGTTTGGCCAGAAACCCGCTAACAATTACCTAAAAAAATAAACCTCGATAGGTCAAGTATGATTATCACAGCAGTGAATTCAATCACGACATCCAAGTAAATTTCAGAAAGCTTTATTTTCTCTAAGTTTCTTAACATATTTTTTTAAGAAAATTGTGTATAATTTTTTTTAATGGCTCTGAGTAGGATAAGATGGGGGCAGAGAAAAGGTCCTAAACTTGAGTGCTCTTCTGTTTACCGATTCTCATAATACAACGATAACTACTACAAAAATATAAATAACCCTAACAAGTTAACGAAAGTAAGGTAGACAGTCTTAGGCTAGTCTAACATTCTACGATAAAATAAAACCAAAAAAAGTCGCTAAATATTTTTACTGTGCGCCTTTAAGCCTTAACTGAGTCAGCAATCCAGTCAGTGATCTACTACTGGCCAGCAGATTGTGGTTCACTCATAACCAAGGTAACAAGATCTTTATAGGGGACAGTCTCCTTCTTCTTGTCTTCAATATCCTTGACCAGCAATTCCACTTCATCTTCTGTCAGTCTTGAGTCCCCCTTCATGCACAGAAAGCCTCGCAGCTGAAACGAGTCAACAGTTCCACTTTTTTCGTTGTCGAAAATGCTGAAGAACTCGAGAAAATCTGCCATAACAGGTTGGGGCTTGGCTTTGATTTCTTTGTAAATCGCGTGGAATTCGGCCATTTCGACTTTTCCCTTGTCTTTGTAGTCTGCTTCAAGCTTTTGTAAATCTGTTCCTTGAGGATTCAAACCGGCGGAGCGCAGGACATCTTTAATCTGGCTGACCTCTATGGTTCCGTCTCCGGTTCGATCAAAAAGGACGAACACTTCTTCAAGTTCTTCTTTATCCATCTTCGCTTTTAGTAATGACCCGTTAGAACCGAAAGTTATTTTGCAGCTTGTCTAGCGCAACAACCAGTTATCGATGTACACTCCACTCAATTTCTTAAGAAAGTAAAATGTTCCTACAGCGAGAAAGTCATATAAAACCTCAGCCCAGTTTGTCTCGCCTGCCACCCTCTGTGTAAAATTACAAATGGGTCAATAAAAAAACTCATGAAGCACTATGGCGCATTGAGACAATGTTATTTTAACAATCTGGTTCGTGATGTGATTGATGCTATATCAGCAAAATGTTGTCGAATACTTTCAAAGAACGAGAGAAATGGAGCTTAATGTTATAGCACCATTAAAGTACGCAAAATAAAAGCCACTGTTTAGCTATTTCGAGACACTTTAAGTGAGTTTCTACTTTATCTTAGGTTTGCATGATCAAGTATAAAGCGCCCTTTCTAAACAGCACGTCATATACCCCATGGTGATTCTCTTGGACTAAAATCGCAACAAAAACTTAGTGAATCACTGCTCTTACTTTTGGGTGGAAAGGAGGAGTTTGAAGGTCAAACGATGAACTATTTTTTATTCCGCGATCGTTGGAAATGTAAACAAATTGAGATCAGGAAGAGTTACAGACCAACCACGCTTCACCAGCAAGCACCTGAGATGGTAATTTATGCGTGAAATTAGGCATAACTGATCTTCAAAAAATAGACCGGCCATGAACTGGAACTAATATCCCGCTCATTAATCGTTGGCACATTTGACACTAGATGAGCAGGGAGGACCTTGTTTCATTCACAACGTTGCCAAAAACCTGGACATTTCAACAACAACCTTGAATGGGGCTATTCCGTTAATAAAAACAAACTGTAGAGTTATGCAGGGGCGTAGCGTGAGAGTTTTTAGGTGTACTCACGGAAGAAAAATTAGAACGGGAAAGGCGTTCCAAATTAGGAGGGTCTGGGCGTATACTGCATTTAGTGGCTCGAAAATGCCAATTCCTGTGTTTTTCGTTTTCAGTAAATAAATACGAAGGAAAATGAAGTAATTAGTTGTATAATTCACCCATCTCTAGTGCTGTCGGTAAAGTACAGTGTTTTCGGAAAAAGGGATAGAAAAGTGACGGCATCAAGGAGGTTACAAGCAAAGGGCGAGATGACTACCCTCCAGACGGGCAAACTCTGTTACAATGCCACCAACATCAGCGGCCTTGTGCTTCTATAAGTGCAGGATTAGTGAAAGAGAGCTCAGTCTCTCGTTTGTCACCCAACTATAACGATTCTTGTCGTCTGTTTAGGGAATAACATAAGGATCCTTGAAAGAAAATACTAGCACAAAGATACCAATATAATGCGAAAAATTTACCAGTTATCCCGATTTAATGACACGTAGGCACGGGCGTAAGCGAGTATATGGACGCTACTCTTTTCTTAGGTGCGTCCTCAAAGTCTTTATGTTTTGGTAGAGCATATCTTGGCTTAAAATTGGGAGAGACGTTTTGACCGTCGAGGACTGAAATAGAGCAAGAGATCATTCTCTCTTGAATAGAGTGAAGAGGCTGAGGTTCGGTGTAAAAACAAGAAAATTCCATTTAACATAATATCATGACCATAAAGTACATTTTTATGGATGGCTTCCAGAAAACGTAATGTAGAAAAGCCTATTCTCAAATTTTACGTGGCTTAAGCCCCCAGAAATCACCAGAAATGATAGGCAAGTAACTTCTCCTTAGAATATCCAATACATTGCCCAACAGATAGGTGTTGAGAGAAGGCAAATTTACCAGCCTGGGCCCAGTTGTTCGAAGACCGATTAGCGCTTAACCCAGGCCAGGGTTAAATTCAACCCGAGTTTCTTTTTCTTTTGCTCAAAAACATTTTCTCGAACAATTTTCTCTGTTATTTTTAAGAGCATCCAATCATCAACTTCTTGACGAAAAGAATTAAATTTGAATTTACCTTTTAAGCTTTCATATCTGAATCCAAATTTCGCACTAACCCTGGATTATCTTAACCCAGCTTTGAACAACCCCGGCCCAGAGGATGTTATATTCAGTTCAAGTAACCCCGAATTCTCTCATTTAACATGCAATAAAATGTATGGCAGTTAGAAAAGAGAATTACTTTTCAAGATCTTAAAAGTTGATGAGTTAAGTCTTTAAAACCTAATATCAACATGCATTTTCTCTAAACTCTAATGGAAAGAATTTATTCAACAGTGAAGATAAGCTCACCACTTTATTCGTATGTCCGTTATGCTTGATTAAGCAATGCAATGTTATGTTCATGAGAAATTAGGGTTAAAAGGGTTAAAGAGGAGCCGGTCACTTGTCTTACGATTCTAAGCCATATGAGTAACGCTCTGGTAAGTTCAGCACAGAGAATCAGTAGTCTAAATAGTTTAAGTGATTTCCAGATGTCTTCGTTATTTTCTGATCTCCAAATCGGTTGATCACGGAGCTGATGACACCATCTTGACATTTGGGGCTCCATAATCCCCTGATAATGGGTTCTATAAAACTGTGTGCAAAAATTCAACGGAATACCGGAGTAATTTTCTACTTAATCATCTGCTATAACATAACTGTACCCCCGGGATAGATTTATTGTAGCAGTAGTTTTTTATATACTATCATGAGTCATTAGTTTTTTCGAATGAACGCCACTCAGTTTCCAGCGTACTGTACAGTACCGCAAATGATCCCGAGACCGCAAATGATCCCCAAAATGGACCGCAAATGATCCTCGATCGCAAGTGATCCCCAAAGTCGACCGCAAATGATCCCGAAAGAAAAATAGGAATGACTTGGACTCAAGTTATCGGACCATCGTGTCGATTTTATTATTATTACAGTAAGTCAGATTAAAAGCTAAATTTTGCTTCTCAAATAAATATATGACTAAAAACTAAATGGAAAAAATCATTCAAAGCAATTGTGATTTTTGCCGCTTATTTCATACTGAGAGGTCATGACATGCATTTTCTGCGATTATTGTTGTTTCTGGTCGTTATGATTTGCCCTTTGATGCAAGAGCATTCCTTTGACCTCTTTTGAAATGCAGTCAGCTCTTCATTGCCGCTAAATAAGGGTTTTAGGTTGTTTAATTTTCTCCAAAGTGCCTCCTGGATCCGAATAATCATAAGCGATTTTCTTTTAGTCCGTGAATGTGACGGTTTGCTACGATGTTTTGTCACGCGATAACTACCGCTCACCTGGCTTTGTGTTTGTCATTACCAGGTTTAGATTCCTGGTAACTGCCTTCAGCAAAGGCACAACAAATGAATATACATAAAAGCGCCAATATAACTATCCACAACACGTTCATGAGCTGTAAGAAAGTTGCTATTTCGAAATAAACCGAAACCTGTGGACATCGACTTTCGGAGGCATTTTGTCTTGTGTTTATGTTAAATCATGTCTTGTTTCGTAACGGGCACCTAAGTTACGAACAAATGTCTTGCTGTTTATCACGTAAAAATCAAAATTAAATATTCTGGCTGATTAATTTCACGCTTTCAAAAAGATCAGAATGTCAATAAAGCTCTTGTTATGTAGAGGGTGCCCGGCTTTGTATTCCTCAGTAGAAAAGTTGAGCTTCTAGGCGTTAAAATAATAGAGTTTTTTCGGCCTAACGTCCTACCTGTCTTAAATTTTTCAAAAGACGAAACATTCTTAAAAAAAAATTGAAACAATCGACAAAGCAAGAAGTATACGGTTAATACCATACTTTTCAGATTTATTCAATTTTTTTTTCACCTTGTATAAATTGACCTGAGATGTAGCGTCCTCCTTCCCTTTTTCTTTAAAAGGCGAGAGAAAAAGGATTCTTTTTTATAATCAGTCCTTTTTTGTAATCAGTCCCATAAAATCCATTCCATTCCTCAAGTTTTCATGGGATCATTTGCGGTCGACTTTAGGGATCACTTGCGGTCGAGGATCATTTGCGGTCCATTTTGGGGATCATTTGCGGTCTCAGGATCATTTGCGGTTGGGGATCATTTGCGGTACTGTACAGTACTCTAAATTATAAAACACAACATTATATTCTAAAAAAAACTCTATTTGTCTCATACCGGTACGTGTTTTTGTTAATTCTTATAAACGTGTTGCAAAGTGAAGACAAAATATGAGTTTCGTTTACGATGAGCTGCAATCAGGCCTGTCTTAGCAGCTGTACCCTCCTCGGGGGTGAATACGAAAATATGTCCTGATCATTTCTATAACTTTCGTAGCTCCAAGGCAATGAAGACTTAAAACATTTCCATTTCAGTAACAAAGACTATTGTACACACTTCTAACGGTTTATGTTGAAACGCATTGAAATAAAAGTAATACTTTGGATTGACGCTTTTTTCACTTTTTTCCTTTGCATTTTATAGGCTTAACAGGGTAGACTCTTGGAGGAAAAGGTGAACACTGACTCGATAGAATTCGCTTTCACGGCAGTCACTGAATCAGTGCATAGCTTTGTATATTGATGTTTCTGAGGATGTTATACAAATACAATCGTTCAAGAAATGAAAAAGCTTTTGTCACTTTGATAATTTATTAAAATTCAGCATTTACATGCAAGACGGAAAACAAACGTTTTTAAACAAAAGTAGTAGTCAACGAATGGAAATCTTGAAAGTCTTCGACGCAAACACAACTATAGGAATCAAACTTTAAACAGTAAATTGCCGAATTTCCATTTAAGTTACTCATGAAGTTTTCCCAACTAGGATATGTTTATTGTGTTGTAGTCTTCAGCACGACTTGCATAATTACACTTGTAATGTAAACAAAAGCTAACAAAGTATAGCAGGAGTATAGTGAGTCGAATTCCATTGTTCCTAGGAAGCTACTTTGCTTACGCTAAATGTCCTAAATGTTACAACTGAACAAACGTAGCACCAAAAATTGATTATCTGTATTTCAATTAACGATGAGCAACACAAACTTGAAATCGCAAGAATTGGCCGGTTCCATCGAGTTTCATTAAACCAGCAGATACTTATAGCAACGACACGCCTAGTTCATTAGATTCTATTGAAGAGCAGTTAATCCTGCAAATTGTTCCTTTCGTGATTTCCACTCTAGTTTGCAGGGTTATTTGACATAACCTCATAAACAAGTTTCTCGTAGTCCACATATCCTTTCTTCTCGTACAAACCTACGATCACATTGGCCTGTTCTTCCGTTAATCGGTCCCCTAAGGCGGTTAACATGCGGCGAAGCTCCGCGGCGCTAATCTTGCCATTGAAATCGCGATCAAAATTTCTCAGCGCCTGGATAAATTCCTCCGGGCTGCCCGTCTGCTTCTTGGCGAGCGAAACATAGACAGATAAAAAGACTTCGAACTCTATTCTCTTATCCTTGCGTGACTTGAGAGTCTCCATCACCCTTTCGACGTCGTGTTTTGTTGGATTCAACCCGACTGATCTCAAAATGTCTGGTACCTGAGCTTTTTCCACGTTACCATCGCCCACTTGATCGAACAAGCTGAACGCATCCTTGAACTCCACCATCTGTTCCTCCGTTAGGTCCGTCATATTTTTTTAAAAGAGTAATGCTGATATTATTCCCTAGCTAAGATGTGCTTGGTTGTCCAGTTATTCACAAGTTTATTTTAATTATTCTTTTGCTAGAGGAGAGATATTCGAGATTCCTGGTCAGCGGGCTTCCCCATGGTTGCTCAATGACGTTCTGTAAAACACCAGGGAGGCAGAAACAATCGCAACTTTTTTGCTCCTAGGGGGCTTCTAAGCAACGACATTTTTGAGCGACGCACGTCAACCGGAAGTGAACTTATCCTCTTTTAATATGCCTTGTCGCTTCCAAATTTGTATTGCTAAGAGTCTTTTCTCTTATAGAGACGATTTGCCCAAAAATTTGTTCAAAATCATCGCTCAAGAGTGCAAAAAGTCCGGTTGACGCGCGTCACTCAAAATGTATTGCATTGCAGTATTCTGCTTGCAGAATTTAATATGTCTACATTATTATTTTTGCCGATTAGGTCTTTATAGATTTGTTTGCGGTCCTTTGCAGTCTTTTGTGGTTAATGTTTGTACTTCCCTCAAAATGGTCGCTGCTTTTTAGACTTCATTAATCAACAATCGTTGTTCCAAAAAAATGGGAAATACTGTGCAATGCACCATCCACGGAGAACCCTTAGAAGCTGTTGATCACCACAAATTCCTTGGAGTTGAGCTATCCAGTGAACTAAATTGCTAGGATTGTAGCAAAAGGCCAACAGACATAGGCGTACGGGAAATTTTTTGCCAGGGGGGGCGGTAAACCATTTGCCCAAAAAATTCTCGCAAGTTGCCCAAATTTTTACGAAACGTACAGTCGACAAAAAACGAGGGCCATACGATGCAACAACATTGGCCGTACTGACATATGAAGGTGGCTCGATACTGTAACAGTTTTTCAAGGTCAATACCTCCCAATTCTGAGCGTAACTATCTCGCCATAGACAAATATTTGGAAAAATTGCCACCACACTTTTATTAGATAAAGATGAAAATTTGTCGTGATCAGGAATGCAATGACATCGGAGTTGTCAAGCAACGAAATGACGCCATTGCATATTTTACTTGCAGCAATATTTCTCGGCACTGGGAACTGTTCTTACAAAATCGTTCAGGGAAGCTTTTTCCTCAAATAGTCGCCTCAATGTTCGTGAAGTTAAAACGGAAACTGTGACAGCGTTATTGGGATATTTTGGGATGAAGTTTTATCGTTAGAAATATGGTAAAAATGGAAAATCTTGATGTTTGACCGTTATCGAACTGAGAACTAGTCAGCCACTTCTTCATTTTCAGACCCATTGCTGATGCTATCTCCCATACACTGTTCTACGAGAGGAGGTAATTCTAGAAAGATATGCGGAAGATTATTCTAATCAATACACGACTGGAAAGAGCCCATCCCAGTTAGTGCGGTGCAGTACAGTGCTCAACAATAAAAAACTATAAAATAATATGTAAATCAACATATGATACCCTTCCCTAATAAACAGAAACTCATGACGTGCTAGGCAACCAATGTCTCGAGAGAATGTAACTGGATTAGAACGCCGACTTCAGGATTTGTTTTCAGATTAAAATAGAAAATATTTATCTCTTCAAAATAATAAAAAAAACATGGAAACGTCCAGTTAAAACCTGGCTTTGCCCAAATTTTCTCTTGCTACCCAAAATTTGGGGGGGCTGCAGCCCTCCTCGCCCCCCCGGGCCGTACGCCTATGCCAACAGATCCCTTGGCGTTATGAGAGGAAACTTAAGTAGTGTCCAGAAAACGTAAAAGAGCAAGCCTATCTTACTTTAGTTAGACCACAACTTGAATACGTGGATGTTGCGCATGGGATCCGCACATTCAAACACAGATAAAGGACATTGAGAGTGCGCAGAGACGAGCGGCACGTTTTCTAAAAAATGAATATAGCACAACTCCTGGAACTATTACGAAAATTTTGAATGATTTGAAATGGCTAATACTCGGGAAGTTTCTTAAGCTTTATCATTTGCATGTAGTTCTGATCGCAATCCGTTACGCTAAAAGAAGGAACAAATATGTAAATCATTATACTTCACAGGTGTTTTCAATACATTAGATTCTCATCATTTTTTCACGAAAACCAAAATAGAATAATGAGTCATCTATATTCACCCATGCGCAAATAACCCCAAAATGATTTTTGAAATTTCCTAACGGCATCGTAGTTTCGAGCAAGTCTCTCCTGAACGATACCTGATGAAAGTTACTGCTGCTGGAACTATTCGCTCTGTTGCAAGGTGCATGGTATAACATTAGAACTGTACGAACAACACAGTGAAGACATTCAACTCGCGAATCAATATGGAGCTGATTTGAAAGTGTAAGTGCTACAGCTATTGCTATATCTCTTGCCTTTCTCTTGTCTAAACGAATTGTCAAAGAGCTGCCAAGTGCACACTGTTTAGACTGTGAACTTCTTTCTCAACTGAAACCTTTCAGAGTGTTTTATTTTAATCGACAGTTGTATGTTTTTCCTTTTTCCTCTCCCTCAGTTTTGAGAAGTAACATTCAGTGCATGGTTGAGTGATGAGGAACGTAACGAAGAGAGTTATCAGCTTATGGTAGAAAAACAGCAAGAGATTTGTAGAGGTAACCATCCAAGTAAAAAGTCACCTTAACCAGGACAATCGTAAACTGACAGAAGGAAAACTGAAATGGTTTTTTATATGGTGATAGAAAACTTGTCAGCTTTTTGTAGGATACCTGAGGTCACTATAACTTAGTTATGTTAGACCCGGTAACGAGTTGAAGTATGATTGATTTTCTCCGGACAATATTTGCTCCTGAGCGATTTTACATTTGGCAATGGTACTAATTAGTTTTATTAGCATTATCCCCATAAGCAAATAGACTACTTTATATAAAGTTGTTATTACCTATATATTTACTTCAATGTTTTTTTGAAAGTTAAACACATAAGAGCAAAAAGGGGACATGGGTGTTAGAGAATAAAGAGCAGAAATTATATTGTAACAAGTTCTCTTCTTAGTCTGCAACCATTTGCTAAAGTGAAAATCATTTCGTTTTCGTTGGAGAGTCGTCCCAATTTGTATTACCTTTGTACTGTTTGGTTCAGTATCATCCCTTCAAATCAATTCTTTCCTTTTCAAAGTGCATGTCTCGGACAAATGAAGCATTTAGAGGGCACTCAGGCCCGCGGACAGAATTTTTAAGATATCTGGATTCTCTCACGGGGAATGTTCCCTTGAATACACTGTAAGCCACATAGGTATGTGCCACCCACAAGGATATGGTTTTTGCGCTTTTTCGGTCTAAAAACGCGTATACACTTTGCTCATTTTGGTTTGGAATTGGGTATGGTTTTCGAGGGAAAAAACGCTGTATAAGAACGTACTTGTCGTTTCAATTCCAAATTAATGAATAAGAAAGAAAAAGAAATATTTGCTTATTCTTTGACATAATTTCTGACTAGAGGCCAGGACTTAAAAAAGGCCTGGAAAATATCAATTGTTTGGTCTGAAATAAGGCCAGGAGTTAAAGAACGGGGCGGCTCGAACCCCCATCAAGAAATCCCAGGAGCCCCCCCCCCCCCCCCCCCCCCCCCCCC